CCCCCTCCCCAGTTCTGATGAAGGGTCCTGACCTGAAACATCGACTTTCTGTTCCTCTGATGCTGCCTGACCTGCTCTCTATTTGCCCTGCCCATACCCCTCATAATCTTATACACCTCAATCATGTTGCCCTCAATCTTCTTTGCTCTAAAGAAAATAATCCAAGCCTGTTTAGTCTCTCTGTATAACTCAGTTTCTTCATCCCAGGCAATATCCTGGTGAACCTCCTCCTTACCCCATAATGTGATATTACATTCTTCCTGTATTGAGGTGACCAGAACTGCACACAGTACTCCGGCTGCGGCCTGACCAATGCTTGTACAACTTCAATATTACCTCCTCACCGTTATACTCTTTGCCACAACTGATGAAAGTAAGTTCCCATATGCCTTCTTAACTATTCTATTCATGTGCTCTGCTGACTTCAAGGTTCTGTGAATAATTACTCAAAATCCCTCTGTTCCTCTAAGCTACCCAGTGTCCTGCCATTCATTAAATACTCCCTCGCCAAAGTGCATCACCTAAGAGTTATCAGGGTTAAGAACCATCTGCCACTGGTCTGCCCATCTGACCAACCCATCTATATTTTCCTGTAACCTACAACCTCTGCTATTAATCACTACCATTCTTGGTGTCTTCTGCAAATTTGCTTAACATTCCCCCACTTTTTCATCTATATCATTTATGTATATAACAAACAATACGGGTCCCAGTGCCGCTCCTTGTGGTACACTGTTGGACACCGGCCTCCAGTCATTCAAACAGCCTTCTACCACTACCCTTTGTGACCTATTAGTGAGCCAGTTTCTGATCCGTCTCACCAAGTTTCCCTCTATATTCCATGTGCTTTAACCTTCAATCAGTCTCCCATGTGGGACCTTGTCAAAAGCTTTGCTAAACTCCATTTCAACCGCATTGACCGAACGTCACTCATTCACACACTTAATCACACTTGCAAAAAATTCTAATGAATTTGTTAGGCATGACTTCCCTCCATCAAAGCCATGCTGACTATCCCTAATTAACCCATGTATTTCCAAGTGGGTATTAATTCCCTTCTTCAGAATTTTTTCCAGTGGTTTCCCTACCACTGATATGAGACTCACCGGCTTGTAATTTTCTGGTTCATCTCTACCGCCCATCTTAAAAAGTGGAACCACATTAGCCATCCTTCTCTGACACTTCCCATATGGCCAGAGAGGAATTTAAAATTTGAGTTAGAGCTCCTGCAATTTCCTATCTCACCTTCCACAGCAGCCAGGGATGAAGTTCACTTGGGGCGGGGGCTTTGTTTGTGTTTAAGCCTGGTAGAGCCTCCAATACCTCTCTATTTCCTATGTCAAACTGTGCAAGCTCCTCGCAGTTTCTCTTCCTGAATTCCGTACCTATGTTCTCCTGTTCCAGAGTGAAGACTGAAGAGATGTATTCATTCAACACTCTTCCAATATCCTGTGGCTTCACACACAGTTTGCCCCTTGGTCCCTAATGGGCCCTACCCTTGCCCTGGTTAACCTTTTCCTTTTAATTTATGAAGAAGGGTCCAGACCCAAAACGTCAGCTTTCCTGCTCCTCTGATGCTGCTTGGCCTGCAGTGTTCATCCAGCTCTACACCTTGTTATCTTAGGATTCTACCTAATCTTGTTTGGAAGTCCTTTCTCAAGCCCTCTTTTTGCTCTTCTAATTGCTTTCTTAAGTTCCCTCCTGCACTTCCTCTTTTCCTCTAGGACCACGGCTGAATTGTTCCCTTTGGACTTGCTAAAAGCCCTACTCCTCTTCTTCATCCAGTCCTGAATTATCGAAGACATCCAGAGTTCTGTTTTGTGATATGAACTTTGATAAAGCTTGTCACTCTAATCCCAATGGTATGGGACTGTGCTAGCTCTAGTGCTTAATATGGGATTTAAGACTCTGCCTTTTTCCCCTGTCCTTGTTCCCAAGGATTGTAATAGTGGAGTGGGGGTGGGGGGGTGGGTGGTTTGGAGGAGGGAGATTGCTGCACAAGATCAGCTGGAAAATGTGCCTGCACGTCTCATTAAAGTAAGTGTAGATCAAGCAGCCATTCCATTTCACATCTTTAGCAGGAGAAATGTCAGTTTCATAGTTTTATAAATACAAACCACCATAAATTTGCAGTTTTGGATAATGCAAGGAATGATGGGATGTATGAATTATAGATATGTCACAGACTTACAATTTATCTATTTGATAAAATACAAGGCAGCCAACGAAAGAATGAGCTGGCACCCTTCCAGCTGTGAGATCATAGTTCACAGACTTGGCTGTCTGCCCTATTTTCGCACTGTGGCTCACTGTGCCCAGTCTCTATGATAACAGTGGAGGTTGTACGTACTCCTCCTGCCAAGGGCTAGTGGCTCGACTGTGCAACCTCTTCCTGTAAATTTAAGATGTATATTTGAGTTGGTCACATTCAGGAGAGGTTCTGCAAAGATTTACGTAGCCTATGCCTCACTAGCTCATCTGTGCTGGGGTAAAATGTACAGTCAGCTATAATAGGGTTCCCATGCTGGGAAGGAGAAACAGAACCCAGCATCTAGCTGCTGGATATCTCCTTAGCTCGAAAGTACAAGTGTGGATGTCTGGAGAGAACAGATTGTACTCAGCCCCAAGAAGCCTTCTGATAACTGGCTGATTAGATTCACACTCACAGAGAATGGTCACTCGAGTGAGGTGCTGGAACACTCACTACTGATGGGACTGTGTGCTAACATGAGTAGATCCTTCCATGAGAGGTGCAGGAAAAAAACATTTTACCCCCTGAACAAAATAAAGGCAAGATCATAACAATGTGAGGTGGTCTCGGAAGTATGCTGACTTCTAACCCCGTGCTGTACTTGTTCTGGGAGTGATTAATGGGGACGGTGTAGAGGCAGCTTTACTTTCATTTTTTAAGACACACTTCTGACGCTGTAGTTTTAATTTTTGCTGAGATTGCCAGCCTTCTTTGCTGCAAACATGCCTCCTGCTGGTGGCTCAAGAGATGGCAGTAGTAGCCTACCAGAGGCACTGTCTTCACAACTCAGAGGTTACAGAGGATGCAAAGGGGCCTTTATTTAGACTAGCAAGGAGAAAGGCATGGCACATCAGAAGCTGATGGCGAGAAATTTGATTGTGACTAGCTTTGCTGGTAACCCAACCCTGTAAGATTAACCATCCAACTGCAGCATGTAAATGTGCTTAGTCTCACAAACACTGTACGTTCCACTCTTTTGTGATTATATTTTATTCTACTGTGGGCCATTAGGACTGATTGAACATTGATTTTATACTGTAGCTCAGAAAGTCAATGCATGTGTAACACATACTGAACAAGTAATTCAGAGATCTGACTCAATGCGCTGGGGATATCGATTTGATTTATTGTTGTCACATAGAGTCGTAGAGTTATACAGGACAGAAACAGACTCTTTGGTCCAACTCATACATACCAACCAGATATCCAAAATTAATCTAGTTCCATTTGGCCCATGTCCCTTAACCCTTTCTATTCATGTACCCATCCAGATGCCTTTTAAATGTTGTGATTGTACCCGCCTCCACTACTTCATCTGGCAGTTCATTCCATACATGTGCTACCTGCTTCGTGAAAAAGTTGCCCCTTAGGTCCCTTTTTATATCTTTTCCCCCATCACCTTAAACCTATACCTTCTAATTTTGGATTTCCCTACCCTGAGAAAAAGCTCTCGGCTGTTCACCCTATCCATGCCTCTCTTTCCAAACACATCTTCTAGGTGAGGCAGCATTTTACTTGTAGCTCATTCTCTAGTCTACTGTACTCGCTGCTGACAATGTGGTTTCCTTTACATTGATGAGCCCAAATACAGACTTGGTGACCACTTCATGGAACGCTTCCCGCCTGCCCATAGGTCTCACCCTAGTCTTCCAGTTGCTTACCATTTCAATAAACCCCCTTGCTCCCATGTTAACATTTCCATTCTGGGCCTGCTACAGTGATCCATCGAAGCTCAATGCAAGCTGAAGGAACAGCATCTCATTTTCTATTTAGGAGCATAACAGCTTCTAGGACTCAAAATTCAGTTCAAAAATTTCCATACCCTTACACTTCCCTAGCTGTGACTTCTTTGTGTCTTGTTAACTTTTCTTTCAGCAGAGTTGGGCCCCTTTTCTTTCTCCCACCTTCACTTACACCTATTTGACATCTCTACTACTCCTTTACCATCATCATCATTCCTTTTGTGTTTTGCTCTGTGCACCGTCACAAACAATCCATTCCAGTTGCTTCCCCTCTCTGAATCTCAACTACACATAAACCACCATTTTCCACCTCCTTTCAGTCTGAAGAAGAGTCATACTGAATTTGAAACGTTAACTCTGTATCTGTATCCACAAATGCTTCCAGTCCTGCTGAGTTTCTCCAGCATTCCCTGTTGTTTGTTATTTTCTCAGATTTCCAGCATCCGCAGTGTTTTGCATTTGAGTAATAAGTCAGACCATTGCTTGGAAGAATTGTTTTTCAAAACAAAGGTCAATCATCTTGACAAGATTAACATCCATGCTTACTTCTCAAGCTACATGTGTACAAGACACAGAATGTCAATGCTGGCAGTAGGCACTTTTGGACATTGTTGAAAAATGCTAGTAATGACTTGGTTCACACAAGGCTGGTCTTTTCTTTTGACATGATAGTGAAATTGTCCATTACTGCTTAGTTTGGGAGGAAAGGCTACGGTATCTGCAAACTTTCAAAAGAGTTTTAAAATCAAAATTGAAAGTCAAACTTAAATGGAAGGACATTGTCATGTAACATTAGCCGCTCGTGTTTGACACCAACTTGAAGAAGATGCCTTTTAAATAAGTCTTTTCTGTCTGAGGTACTGACATACCTCACCTTGAGCATGCAATGGAAAACAGCTTTCATTGACAGAATGTTCTCACTCATTGCCTTGAAAACAGCAATTAGCCAAAAGTAGACTTGATACATTACTTGCAACATGCATCTGATATTTCACATTTTGTTTTAGTTTTAGGTGATAGTGATGAATTTGATCTCTTTGATGCTCTGTCTGATGACATCACTACAAAGCCACGTAAGTTTCTTGAATTGAGAGAGAGTGTGTGTGCGTGCGTGTGTGTGTGCGTGTGTGTGCGCGTGTGTGTGTGTGTATGCGCGTGTGTGTGTATGCGCGCGTGTGTGTGCGTGTGTGTGTGTGTGTATGCGCACGTGTGTGTGCGCGTGTGTATGCGCGCGTGTGTGTGCGCGTGTGTATGCGCGCGTGTGTGTGTGTGTGTGTGTGTGCGTGCACACCCGCGCTAAAATGGAATCTTTGAATTTTTTAAAAGGAAACACAGCTGGTGCTCTATTGGACAACACGTATTGAAATTTTTCAGCACTGAGGAGAAATGGGTAGTTTGGGCCTACACTCATTAAAATGTACAAGAATGAAAGATGACCTTATTGAAACATACAAGATTCTTAGAAGACTTCACAGGGTAGATGCAAAAATGTTGCTTCCCCTTGCGGGAGAGCCTACGACCAGAGGTCCTCATCTCCAAATCAGGGATCACACATTTAAGATCCAGGTGATGAGGCTTTTATTCTGAGGGTTGTGAATCTGTGAAATTTTTTACTGCAGAGGACTGTTGACATTAGGTCATTATATGCAAGATAAAAATCAGTCTTAAGGATCAAGGGTTATGGGGAAAAGGCAGGAAAGTGGAGATGAGGATTATCAGATCAGCCATGATCTCATTGAATGATGGAGCACACTCAATGGGCTGAATGGCCTATTTCTGCTCTTTTTTGTCTTTGTCTTATGCCTGAATCCCATAAAACATACCAGTAGAGATAAAAGGTGAGAAGATTCTCAACAGCAAATATTTGATATCACCCTAAATGTTCCACTTTCCCCTGATTGGTGATGCAAGAAGAGAATACTGCTACTAATGTGATCCTGAACATTTTCAGACATCATGGCATCAATTGAATCTGCTGCTCAGGCTACTGCTTAGTAAACAGCCACTGTGTGCTAGTTGTTTCCTTTCGTTTGAAGGAACAGTTCCTCCAGATAGTCCCGTTGAATACAGTGTAGAGCAGCACAGCGACAGAGAAATAATTCTGCAGTCTGCAGCACCACCACATTGAGCTGTCAATCAGTCCTTCATGACACCAAGTTCAAAATGACTGTCTGTTACACAGACTGAGCTTGCATTCCTTTGAACTGCGTTTAAGGCACTTAAGAAGTTAATCGTAAGAAATCAAACCTAATTAAAAACAGTGTTATTGCCCTTAGCTCATCACCAACCATACATTAGTACCTGTTGGTAAGTGTTGGTGATGGAGCATTCTATCAAATGACATTGACAGTCTGTTCTGGTACCATCAAACAGGATCTACCATGCAAGGAATCGGGATTAGCACACTTTTAATGGTATTATGAAACTGCAGACTCAATGGGCCGAAGGGCCTTTTCTGCTCTGTATGAATCAATGAATCTAGCTCCTTTTGCACCCCCTCCCCCACCCCGCACCCATAGGACCTCAAGGACATTACATGTTGACCACCACCTAATGGACCTGTGGCCAAAGGTGTTTTTAGAATGTTCCCAGGGCCAGCTCTGTACTCCACAACACTGAGGATAGATGGAACCAAAGCAAGTTGTGACACTTGGTGCTTGCAGACTGAAGGTCGATGAACATCTTTGATGCAGCTGGTCATCAGGTTGAAGACGATGTTGATTACGTTGTTTACCTCTTTTCATCCATAGGTTTGTACATCATGTCCCTAAGTACACAACCCATCTTCAACCTTGCAAAGGATAATGATACGAGTCATTGATTACCACAGTGCAGGAGTGAGGAATGAGCCAGGCCTGACCACAGCTACTCATTTCTTCCCCTTATTAAATGCACAGTGTGATACCTTGGAACCATATACCCAGCACCTTCAGGTAATCTGACCTGACAGTGAAGGGGAAAAAGGATTAGTGGGCCTCATTCCCACAGAACATGGCTTCAGTTTTGTCTCTTGGTTTTTACCTTGGTTCCCAAGGCCAGTTCAAACTGTATCGCAGGATCATTACAGCACTGAAGGATGCCCCATGTAACTCATCAAGCCTGCCCTGGATCTATTACCTAGTGCCAATCTCTGTGTATTCCTACACACCAGATTGCAGATGCTCACGAACCTACACAGTGGATCTGAGCAGAATGTGATGAGCTCGTTCGTGTACAGGGAAGCGTTGACCTGAATTAAATCATGTGCCTGGAACGTGTTGCCAGCGGAGGTGGTAGAGGCAGGCACGATAGCATCATTCAAGATATATCTAGACAGATACGTGAATGGGCAGGGACCAGAGGGATACACATCCTTGGAAGATAGGCGACAGGTTTAGATAGAGGATCTGGATCAGCGCAGGCTTGGAGGGCCAAAGGGCCTGTTCCTGTGCTGTAATTTTCTTTGTTCTTTGTTCTTTAAATGCCTCCCCCACCCTCAACAAGTCACCCCTCTAATACTGTCATCCTCCTTGATGGATTCAGCCAAGGGATCTGTACAATACGTAACAGGACAGAAGGGAGAGAGGACAGCTCTGTCTGACTCTGGATTTAATTGGGACACTTTCTGATAGCTACTGTGCAGACCAGTTGTCCCCAGTTGCAGATTTCCACCCCAAAGTCCATTGTGGAGTGTCCATCCATCATGTATCTTTACAATATTCTGTCAAAGTCCTTCTCTGAGTCCAAGCTGATGATCCCAGTGTCTATCCCGTTGTCCTGCACATTGGCAATAGTTTCGCTGGGTGGCATGAGACTTCATGAAACAGTTGATTTATTTTTAATGGCTCCTGGTTTATTGAAATGCAGGATTTGCGCAGCTGTTGGAACGATGGATATTCAAAGCACTCCCTCTTTCATATTGACTGAGCCATATCCTGCCCCATTCATATCCATAGTTGATGCCAAAATACTGCTGCAGCTCAAGCACAACCACATTGCTGAACTGTGAGGAACCCTAGTTAAACACAGAATTCTTCATTTCTGATTAACCTCATGGCATTCCCTTCGGCCAAGTCAGCAGCAAAATGTTGCTTTAAGATGAAGCTCAGAAGGGCTCAGCAGAAATGATTCGGGAGGAGTTTAATGCAGCTGCCAACAGCAAGTTTGCTCATCTGCAGCCAAGGTCACTCCAGGGAGTCAGCATCCTAGGTTTGCGGAAAAATAATTTAACAAGAACCAGGAAACAAATCCAGTGTGTCCACCATCTAGAACACACTTGGGCATTCAGTTCAGCCACACATGGCAGAAGCAAATGTGCTTCATTTCTGGAGGTGTAGTTCCCTTCAGCATCAAATGTATCATTTGGAGTCTATCCAGCATCGGTCACTTTAAGCCTCTATGTCACTTCCCATCCTTAGTTATTCTTATACCGTCCTCCAGCACCCGTCTGGTGCTCTAACAACCATCCTCGCTTAAAGCGGAGTAGCTTGATTAATGAGACAAACATTCCAGTGCTACAGACACTGCAGACTGCTTCTAATGATGATGACAACATGAGCATTCAGATTCATGGAATCTGGCTGACTAGCTGTGATAGGGATCGTCCCCACAGCCAACAGTCGTTTATTTTCTTGGATGGCGAGATTATAAAATAAGTCTTCCCTGGGGAGATGGTGGCCTAGTGGCGGTGACACAGGATAGAACCCCTGAACCCCAGACTAATGTTCCAAGGATGTGGGTCTGAATCCCAGCATGACAGATGGTGAACTTATAAATCAATACTCAAAAGAAAAAAATCAGGAATTTAAAGTCGTCTACTTGCAACCATGTACCGAAATGTTGACTTTCCTGTTCCTGTGATGCCTGACCTGCTTTGTTCCTCCAGCTCCACGTTGTATTGACAACCACTTTTGGATTGTTGTTAAAAACCTAACTGGTTTGCAAATGTCCTTTTATCTGGTCTGAACTACATGTGACTCCAGAGCCCACAACAATGCTGTTCACTCTTAACTGGATGCTTAAATTCGTGTGGGCAATAAAGCGACGCCCATATCCAATGAACAAATAAAGCAAAAGGGTTATCACTGCCCTAACATTCCCTGATATTCCAAATATCTTCAATTAGAACCAGAATCCTTTGAATCAAGCTTCTGCTGAATGGTGTTAGGATAATCCTACCATTATCCTTCATTTCCTGCATTATGATAGCAAGACAAAACATATCAAATCCCACAGTTTGACACAAAATAGGACAAAGTGGGTAGGATATTAATGGCACTTGGCTTTTCCCTTGTGGTACACTTAGCAGGAACAGCTTGCTCATTTTAGCCACACTTATGCTTTTGGTCCCTAGATAATATTCATGTTTTTATTACTCAGGCCTCAAAATTGCACATATAGCTTTTAGCCAACTATCAGATTTTTTTTTAAAGTGTGGGCAGTGCTCCTAATCATTGGACAGATTTTTTTCCGGTTTCTGTTTAAGAAAAACGTGCAGGGCTGAGCATCTCTGGTGGCAACTAACGTGCTACCCCCATTACTGACGTAATTCATCCGACTGCCTGCCATTCGGCTCGCTTGTAAGAGTTGACGCGCGTTGATCAGTTTCATGGCAAACCACAGGATTCAGCACCAGTGGAGCGGCACGGTGGCACAGTGGTTAGCCACCAGGGACCTGGGTTCAATTCCAGCCTCAGGCGACTGTCTGTGTGGAGTTTGCACATTCTCCCACTGTCTGTGTGGGTTTCCTCCGGGTGCTCTGGTTACCTCCCATAGTCCAAAGATGTGCAGGTTAGGTGGATTGGCCATGCTAAATTGCCTATAGTGTTCAGGGATGTGTAGATTAGGTGGGTTACAAGGGGACGGGTCTGGGTGGGATGCTCTGAGGTTCAGTGTGGACTTGTTGGGCTGAAGGGCCTGTTTCCACACTGTAGGACTTCTTTGATTGCATCTGTCCCAGACAGAGGCCAGCTGCATCTAGATCCTAAACTCCAGTCCTGCTTCTTGGGGATTATGCACATGATGGGTGAAGGAGGGTAAGAAGTGTCCTGGGGAGAGGGGAATCAGAGGTGAGGGCAAGGATGATTTTCAGAGG